TTTCAACAGATGATCTACACATAATGGACTCATTCGTTAGCTTGCCAGGAAATCAAAGAATCACTTATAATAATACAAAAATCAGTAGCAGACTTCCGAGAATAAGTGCAACTAACCCAATGAGTATCTAAGAAGTCATAGAAATGAAGAGTATAATTCGTAAAAAAGAAGAGACCTTTGAGCTAATGAAATAGCTAATGAACAACTTTAAGATGAGGTTCCCTTGGCTTTGAGAGAAACTGACTAATCTTATGAACCGCAAAGATAATATCTAACTTGGAAAGAACCAAATATAACAGGTGCTCAATGATGTGAGAAGGATCATCTAACAACTTACCATTAAAATTATTAAGAGAAACTTTGGGATTTATTAGCATATCGGCAAGAAAGCCAGTGTCTCGCAAAAATTATCGTGGAGAGAGACTAATGGTTTTAGAAGAAGGAACTATCTCCAATCTCAAGAAGTATTTGATACTGTCCAAATCCTTCAGTTTGAATTAACTGTAAATAAATGCCTTGATAGCTTGAATAACCTTCAATAAAAGACATGCTATCATAATATCATAAATATAAACTAAAACAATCACAAAATAAGAATTTGTTCCTTTGGTAAATAAAGAATAATTTAGAGTAAAAAAAGTCATATTGAAGTAAAAAGTAAGAAAGTTTCTCATTCCATGATATTAAAGTTTGTTTTAAACTATACAACTTAAAGATGATCTTGGCATTAGAGGCATATTGCTTGCGCTTTATTTGATAGTCTAAAGGTAAAATACATATGGACCTCTTCTAATAGATCAATATTCAAGAAAGCTTTATTGATATTGACTTATGTCAAAATTTAATTTTTTAATAGTAAGGGCAAATAGAGTCTTGTCAATAACTAATTTCGTGATTAATTTTTTTTTTTTAAGGAATCAATTCCTTTCTAATGGGTATTTTAATCTATAGTATTTTAAATTAATATTTTTTACTTTGTTCATTATTTTGTTTTAAGTACTTTATGTTTATTGAGGAAGATAATTTATAGTTTTTTTTTTAAAAAAATATTAGAATGTATGATTTGATTTTAGACCTGTATATACTAGATCAATCATTTTAACTATTTTGTTATGATTTCTGTATATAGTAAGTTCGTTTTGAGTTGTTTGAAGAGCAGAATAATCTGTTATCACGCATATCAAATTAACACCTAATATACTTATCGTAATAATGATAAACATATATGTTCAAGATTTCTCATATAACTTTATTTGAGATTATAACTTCACCATATAGTATTAGAATTTCAAAGTGTTAAAAGTTTGGGTAGTTAAATAAGTTAAACTACTACTCAATTTCGAACATTGAGTCTTTCTTGCATTTGATTACCGCATTTAAGTAATATAAATTTTACTACTCAATTTTGAACATTGACCCATTCTTGCTTTTCCTCACCTCATTTAAATAATGCACATTTTTTACCATCTAATAGTTTCATAATGTTTGTCATCTTTATTATTTTCCTTCAATTGTAGTATAAATGAAAGTATGATTTTATGATGAAAATGGTTAGGCTTTTAGGTATTTTTGGACTTTATTATATAATTCCTTCAAATCTTGGGTCATTAGCATCTATAATCTTAGAGTCCTATCATTATGAATATTTAAATTTATATATTACTAAATTAAATATTAGTAAATAGGATTTTATATATTGTATAAAATATAAAAAATTTGTGTCATGTTCTTTCTCATTATATAAAAATTCGTATTTGTGGTTGTGTTAAAGACATATTGAAGACAGAAAAAAAAGACATATTACTATTCCATATAATGGTTTGAAGTGAGTGAAAGAAATAACAATAGTGTTAACAAGAAAACTACATTTAATGCATAAGATACCATGACAAAGTTAAAAAATAAATATATAAGTTGTATTAGAATCTAAAGAAGTACCAACTCGAACAAGTAATATGTCTTCCACATCTTTATGTTCTCTTTCTCTACCTCTCACCTTTTTCTATATTTTTCCAGAACGATAACTTTTCATTAAACTGCAATAAATAAATATGTAACTGATATAAGTTTATGTTGCAAATAATTAAATACGACAAGAAATAAAATCTCTCCCTAATTCATTAATAATGTACATGTAAACAATAAATAGCATAATATTTCAGTAATTGCACAATAATTCTTTAAGTTCTTTAACTTTATATATTTCATTCTAACTCACCATAAAAATGATCATCTTGATTTATTTGTTGAAAATATTAACTAAACATAAAATAGAAATAAGAATACATAAAATAAATAAGATTATAAAATTTTAATAGATTTATAATTCCTATATATCCATAATAACCAATATAGAAAATAAAGCTAATTTGACTATAAATTAAATATAAAAACTATGATCCATATATATATATATATATGTAATTGTTTTCTAAATCAAGGACTAGTAAAATGATAAATTCACTTGAAGTGGCAAAAGAAAATGGGGACAACCAATCCTATTTTGCAATAACATATGTACTCTTTACCCGAAAGGTGACAAGAAAATATGGAATAACACACATATGGACATAGTTA